GTAGGGAAGACATGAAGGATTGCCTGACATCAGGAGATTTAGGGGCGACTGTCGCAGACCTCTGGGCTTTTCCCCTCCCAGAGAATAGCCCCCTCTGATACAGATCAGCTGGATTTTCAAAAGCTTCAAAGTCTTGGTTTGTGAGTCAGTCTTCACTTTGGGAGCCAGGTCTGTGGCTTTGAGCAAAAGGTACTTTCAAAAGAGGGCTTTCCAGAGTGCAGTTCCCAGCCAGCTCTTATGACCCCACCCGGCGCCCTTTTATTGTCTCCGTGACTCACCACACGGGGACAGGGCATCCAGACTGAGCTTTCTGCAGAGTGGTGAGGTAGCAGACACTGGCATAGCACGGTAGTGGTTTGGGGAGGTTTCCGCAGGTCTGCTCTCCACCCCTGCCTCGGGTGAGTAAAGAGAATGTATAGTTCCCTACTCAGGCTTTCAGAGTGATTCGCTAACTAATGATCTGAAAAGGGCGCCCTGGTACAAGCCCAGCTGCCAGGGGAGGCGGGAGGGGTCCCCCGGGCCTCTGGCACCTGTTTCTAGTCTCACCTAGAAACAGTTTCTCTGTCCAGGGAACCAAACCAGGCTGTGAGAGATGCAGGTGCCTAAGTTCCAAGCACCCCAGAGTGCGTAAAAGCTGAGTAACAAATTGCAGTTTCAACAAGCAAAGCCAGACTCGGCTCTCAGCTCTATCCTAAAACTCCTTTTAACCAAGCTTAGCTTCTTAAAGGCCTAACCAACCCTTGGCAAAGCAGCATCCTTTCTGCAGGCTAATTCCCCTCGCCCGACGGCGTATGGAGTGTCCTTATTGCTAAAAAGGATTCTGTCTTCTTCAAAGAAGTTTTATTTTTGGTCCAGAGTACTTTTCTGACTTGTCCAGCTCGCCCTGCACCAGCTTTTTGAAATGCACTATGCTTGATCACTGATCGTGTTTTAACTTTTTCTTTTCCTGTTTTTATTTTGGTATTAAAGTCGTTGCCTTTATTTGTAAAACTGTTATAAATATATATTATATAAATATATTAAAAAGGAAAATGTTTCAGATGTTTATTTGTATAATTACTTGATCTACAAAAGTGAGAACAAATGAATGTATTCCTGTTTTTGAAGAGAATAATTTTTTTTCTCTAGGGAGAGGTACAGTGTCTATATTTTGGAGCCTTCCTGAAGGTGGGAGATTGTAAATATTTTTATCTATGAGTCAATGTTAACTAGTTGTTTTAAAATACTTAATAAAATAATCCTTTTCCTGTGGAAGAGAAAGATGGTCTCACGCATTTTTAAAAGAACTCTCAAGGGTGTGATAGGCCTTCTGCTTCTGCCCTCCCCTCTTGGCTGAAAGCAACAACTAGTTAATCTGGGTGTGATTTCATTCAGCTTTTCCCATGCCTGTATTCAGACAGAATAAGCTTAGTCAATTTCATAGGTAAATATTTGTTCAACTGTTTTCTTAGACTAAGCTTTGCCAGAGGCTCACTATCAGCCTGTGCCTCTTTCCAGAGTTAAGCAAAAAGCCTATTTTTTCCCCCAGTCTGCTTTCGTCATGGTCCTTAAAACTTGACAGAAAATCAAAGTACGAAATCATGGGCCTCAGTGTCTGGGGAGCTTGCTGGAGGGGGGAGCACACTGAGAGAAGATTTAATGGATTATGATGCAATAATAATTGCTGCTGGGGATAGCACCTCTACCAAGGCGACTTTTTCGACTTTTTCGAGTCTAGCAGGGTCTAATGGGTTTGCCATATCCTGTCCAATTGCCTCTGAAAGCAACATTCCATGATTAGTTTCTACATCCTTCCTGGACTTCCTCTCATTGGGTGTGTTTGTGCGTGAATGAATATTGGTGTTCCTTAGTCAAGGGCTCTTATGAAAAAAAAAAAAAAATTCCATGGGAAAAGAAGTGGGAAATGAGCCGGTCGAGTGAGCATTTCTGCCTGTCCCCTTCTCCGTCTCAGAGGTGTCCTGATGTTTCCTGATGGCCAGCACCTGGCTCGCCACGCTCCAGATCCCAAAGCATCTTCCAGAACCCTCTGGCTGTCTGGAGCCTGTGCAGGGAAACTGCCCCCAGGGAGTTCTCAGCCAGGCAGAGACACCACCTGCCCTTCGTGTCTGTTTGCTTCAAATGTCACCTTCCCTCTCTGCTGATGAGCCAGCAGGCGACAGTGAGCATTGCCTGGCTTGTGTGAGGTGCCCACAGGCAGCCTGGTGTCATGGGAGGAGCCCTGGACCAGGAGTCAGGAGATGAGCTGGTGGTCTTATCAATGAACTGGTAGTCTGGCATCGCCCCCTCCACACCTGTTTGTAGTTCAATAAAAAAGGATTCTGAGCCCCCCTCACATGTCCTACAGCAGGCAGACAGCCATCGGTAAGGCCGTCTTTCTCCCAGCACCTTAGGGCCTGGCCCTCAGGGTCTCCTGCCTGTTAAGCTCCTGAATTCCTCCATGAATTGCTAAGCCTTTCTGGCTAGACTTTATGGGTAAAAAACCTAAACAAATCAAGTGTATCCTGGGGATGGAGCACGGGGTTGAAATCAAGGCTAGGCTCTTTTGGCGTGCCCCCCCCTCCTCCCTGGGCCGTGACTCAAGGAGTAGCTGTGGAGACAGAGGGAAGTGGTGCCGCACTCTGAACTAAGAAGGGTTCGGGGGCTCCACACAGCCTCAGCCCAGAATCCCATGACTGGAGCCTATGGAGCACCCCTCAAAGCAGCAGCCCTCCCTCTGCCTCCTTTTCTGCTTCCAGTTTGCCCTTGATCTTCTTTCTAGGTCGGTTCCAGCAGGTTCCAAGTGGTTCGGAGGGAGATGTGGAGGAGGGGTCTTTGGCCCCTTGGGGACAAACAGGACCTCTATTAACCAAGGGGTGTGTGGGAGTGGGAGGGGCTGAAGCGCTGGCTTTGGGGCCGAGGAAAGGTGGCCAGAGGTAGGGGGAGCGGACACTTGCGATCCAGCCGCCTTCAGACAGGGCGTGAGCCTCCGGCCAGCCGGGATGGTCTCACCCAGCGCTGACCTGCCTCGCCTGTTGACACAACGTCACGTTTCCGACTGCAGCCCTTTCATGTGCGGCCCGCGGCTAAATGCGGCTGCCGGTTCCTGGAAGCAGACGTGCCTGGCACCGCGTCAGCAGAAACCTGATCCCCGGGGAAGCTTGGCACGGTCGCGGGCCCGCTCGGCCCCCAGAATAGGACCTGGCATCGGGCGCCAGGCAGCCCCCCTTCGCGCCCCGCGGGAGGGAATCCGAGCGCTCTCCCGGGGTTGGGGGGGAGGGAAGCCTTGCTGGGGGGCGGGGCGGGGGTGGAGCTGGATTTAGGCAGGGCATTGGAAAAAGAGCCTAATTAACTAGAAGCTAGAAGCTTCCCACGGGTCATGGCTCATTAATGAAACCTAACAACCTAGAAGGACCATTACGGGTACTATAATTTACATTTTGGAGATAGATAAAGGCGCGCTCAGAGAGGGGAGTTAACTGGCCCAAGGTCACACAGCTTCTGAGTCACTAAACCATTTAGTGGAATGGTGAATATGTTGGTTTCTGCCTCTTCTTAATTGGATCCAAGGGGAAGGCTTTCAGAATCTGGTTGTGCACAGTAGTAGTAATACCAATACTACGATTACTAGCAGCAGTTTGTAGCACTTATTATTTGCCAGGCACTCTTCAAAGCACTCCACATACAAAAACTTAATTTTCACAGCAACTCCATGAGGTAGGTTTAATTATTATTCTCCTTATATGGTTAACAAAATGTAGGCAAGGAGAGGCTAAGTAACTTGCCTAAAGCCACACAGCTCCGGTGGTGAATTGGAATTTAAACTTTGGCAATTTGGCTCCAGAGTCTACGCGCTTAACTACAAAACCCCATTGCCCTTCTTGTTAAATAATAGTAATGGTAATCATAAAAATAATAATAGTAAAAGTATAATAATTGCCTCAGTTACTACCATATTTTGAGTACTCTCCCTATGCCAGGCACTATATTAAGCAGTTTATGTGAATTATCTCTACTTCCTATAGCAACTGTGAAGGGTAGGTATTTAATAAGAGGTGAAAAAACTGGAGCTCAGAGAGGAGAAATCTGAGCCTCATCAGAGGTTACACATCGTGTGAAGGACAGAGCTAGGCCCTTTCCCTGGTACAGAACTGCTTCTAAACTGAGCTGCTGTGACGTTGGGCTTGGGCATGCATTATCTCATTTAATCCTCAAAATAGCCCCATGGAATAGGTACTATGATCCCCAGTGGGCAGAGGAGATAACTGAAGCTCAGGGTAAAGTTATTCGCCCGACTCTTTGCTTCCTGACAAATGTCCCCACATACCATCCTGCAGCCAAAAATGGGCCCATTCTCTAATTAAAGAACTAACCCTGATGGACTACTGGAGCTTGGGGCGGGCTGGGCACTTAGGTTGACTACACTGAGAACCAGAATCTGGGTTTGAGGAAATTCTATGTCAAATTTTCTGGGGTGGGAGGAGGGGCCACTCCTTCCCTCACATCTCTCTCAAGGTTAGGAGAGGGGCAGGTAGAGGGGCCTGGGACAGTAGTTACCTATGGACCACTTGGCATGAGGCACTTCTGCTGGACGGAGGGAGAGAGGCTGGGACCGAGTTCCCAGCTCTCTTGCTGGAATGGAGGCTGGAAAGCTTGGAGACCAGGCCACTGCAGCTCCTTCTGTCCCTTGCAGGTTCCTGCAGCCCACGCACACCCTGGCCCATCTCTACAGCCCTTGGTCAGCTCCC